AGCGCTATTTATGCAATAGCGAAAATCAGACCTGAAAAAAATCAGGCCTGTACGGGATTCGAACCACTGACCTCTGCGATACTAGTGCAGCGCTCTACCAATTGAGCTAACAAGCCAACTGGGAGCAGGCCGTTAAGTTGATTCGTAATAAACCCGTGATGATAAATCAGATACAATGAATATATGAAGATAGTAGTATTTATGCCAGTAGATAGCGCTGTTAGATAGTAGTATTTATGCCAGTAGATAGCGCTATTTATGCCAGTAGATAGCGCTATTTATACCAGTTGGCTTGTTAGCTCAATTGGTAGAGCGCTGCACTAGTATCGCAGAGCTCAATGGTTCGAATCCCGTGCAAGCCTCATTTTTTTTTCAGGTCTGATTTTCGCTATTGCATAAATAGCGCTATCTACTGCGAAGGATCGTGCATCATACGTAAATAACATGATGTTGATGAACTTATGAGAGACCAAAACCTCTCAAAAAGATCAACCCGCTTTAAAATGCATTCTGGAAAGCTGATCAGCGACAAGTTTTATTCTGTAGTTAGTAGGGGCATCTACATTATTCGTCTTCCATCTTAATACTGGCTGGCGGAAATACAGCAGAGCTGTGGAAAAATCGACTCCTGCTTCCACGCTATACAGTCATTTCCGGCGCACTGCTCACTCTTTCATATCAATTACGAAAGTCGGGGGTTATACCGGTAAAATGAAAGGCTTATTCGTCATCCATACTCTGCCAATAAAAGATATAAATAGATTATGAATTTTTGTTTCAATTTCAATATGGCGCTTGGAGACTCTTTTAGGGTTTCAATCAAAAACTGTTAAAAATAGTACTGTCATTGTATTCTGGTGGAACTCTACGAGGGTTTTAAAAAAAAATCAGGGATCCGTTTGAGTTGGATTCACAAACAGAAATTACTAGAGTGAGGTATTTAGTATCATTTGCAACTCGCTCTATCTTTTGCCAGTTGAAGCAATATCATGAACTTCCGTTGAAGTAGAACTGCTATCTCTGATCTCTGCATGAACTCCTTGTGTCATCTTGCGCGACGAACGCGCTGGTAGCAAGTGCTTACTAAATGGGTGTGGGAAAGGAATGTTTACCGATTATCAGGAAAGAATTTACGATCGCATTACTCTTTTGACCTCCCATAGACTTTCGATCCTTACTATGTTTTGCTTCCTATATTGTCAAGAATGAAATGGGAAATCAGAGTAATCGATAAAAAATTCATCACGCTTTGGAAATAATTCCTACGAGTAATCGAAGTGTATAACATTTTTTTCTCACGCTTCTCAGTCACCAGGGAAAACCCCTTCTCAGCCTTTAAATCCAAACAAAAGACTTTCAGGTTGAACCTTTCACCTCACATTGTTCCGCCTTAGTCTTGTGATGGCTCTATTTACATATCACTGTCATTACATAGCCTAGTCATTAGGTTGCGACCTCACTTGAGTACAGCTAGATTCACGAGACGGACCTACATGATTTAAGTCCTGGCTTTGAGTGATTGAAGGGAGAGAATTCACCGATCTCACAGGGAATAACAACACATCTCGACGAGGATTAAAGTGCCATAATGCAGATTTCAATTTGGACGTTCATTATTCTTTTATCCCAAGCCGTGTTTCAATTTACCGGTGAGTAAATATTGCCAGGTGTCGGTTCTCACACATAGCTCGACAATTTCATCCTCAAAATCTCAATACGTGGTAATTAAGTATACTCCTGTAGTAATACCACGAACTTCTTTGTGATAGATGTACCATTTTCTGTTCATTCATTTATTGATTTATTGTCACCAGGAAAATTCATGAAACTACAATCGCCCACTAACTTCCGGTACTCTACTTTCGGTCTGATTTCTGGTTACAGGATTTATAATAAAAATGAAATACAACTGATTTAGGAAATTGTACATGAAAACGGCATACAAAAAGCAGTCAAAGTGGTAGGAAGTTATGCGAAAAGCTATTGGCTATTGGGGAAACCCCAAGCCACGTTTAGCGACTGTACGTGGTCTTCGTAGTCTTTAGGTTAGCAATCAAAAGAATAGTTCGGTAAAAAATGCTGAAGCGTATCCTTCAAGATTTTCCCTAATCTAGAGGCCCTAGAAAGTTAAATACGATCAAACATCCAAACATCAGACTTTGAATCTCTTTTACTTGGATGAACACGAAGTGGGGCTTTTCCTTTCACTTTCTGTTCCAATTTCGAAACACTCTCTGAACAACTCTCTAATTCCTGGGGAATAGTCCCTTGGGAAATTTCGACCACAACAGTTCGATAGCTTTTATAGCTTTTTGTAACATGTGATAAGCTTCTATTAGCTGATCGGGTGATAGTTAGAGATGGGCGGGGAGCGGGTGAGGGGAGAGGCAGAAGGGAGCTTTCGGAAGGGGAAGATCAGGACAGTTTGTAATAGAGGTCGATCGTTTTTATTTTCAGCGGCTATCAAACCTGTAGTTGTTAACTGCAATGCGCCAGTCCTCTCGACCGTTGCAGTTGACGAAACGCATCACAAATTTTATCCCTACTTCGTACGACTCTACCGTTGCGAGGGCTCCTACAACTATGAAAGCCCCAACATCAAGAAATGTGTGGCCACAGAACGCAGGGAGGTTAGATTTTCAGTCCAAGATATGAAAAACGGGCAAAGGAAGGAAATAATTCTCGAGAACCACACGAGGTGTGGCCCTGAATGCAAGGCAAGTCCTGACGAATGTAACTTGGATGTGCAAGAATGGAACGAGCAAAGCTGCCAATGCAAGTGTATGTATCCTCATTCACCTCCCCCCGAAAATGTCATGAAACGAAGAAAGGGGTTAAGGTAAGTGTATTCACAATAAAACGTTACTTTATTTGTACTTTAATTGTACTTCCTTAATTGTAATTAATTGCTTTAATTAATTGCTTTAATTAATTAATTGCTTTAATTGTACTTCTCAGACCCTCCCGCGGGCTCAGCCTTTACAGTCTTAATTGTTTTCATTTCTGTGACATATTTTTCCTTTCTACCAGGTGGAATAGCCGTCTCTGTCAGTATGACTGTAACAAATGGGGATTTTGTTCGCGCGAAAAGGTAATCAGCCGGTTAATTTACTTGTATTTCCATTATTTCACAACATTAAGTGGGTCATGCAACGCCTCTTACACCAGCTGATAGATGATGCAAAACCTGGGTCTCTCCACCTATTGGTGCACAGGAAAGAATCAGTTTTGAGTTAAAATACTTCATTGGGAAATTTACACTGAACCAACTGATAAATGAATAAAATGTATTAATCGTAGTTACCTGATAAGAATAAATAAGAAGATTAGCAAGTAGCAAACTGGAAGCCAAAGTGCTTTTCAAACAGCCCAAACATACCATCATCAAGAAGTGATGATCGAGAAAAACATGAAATAACAAAGGAAATGGGATTGGGGGGAGGTGATGGAGTAAAAGCTGATTTGATTATTCTCAAAATTAGCTGTTACCGACTGACTGACCAAAGTAACTGACAAAATACAATTATTCTTGTTGTGCTTTACATAGATGTGGAGTAAGGAGGACTGTTCCTGTATTTGCAAGCCAATTTATGAAATTCTATGCAACAATGATGACAAGTTTATGGATCCTAAAACATGTACATGTAAAGATCCAATGAAATACACAGCGCCACAAACTGGTTAGTGAAGACCAGCAGTAGGTTGGGCTGGAGAACTAATGTCTTTTCAGGCTGGTTTTGATGGGATCTTCTCAGTATGAAAATATCTCCCTGTGGAAGATTCTTACTTAAAATGCACCTAACTTTGCCAAAAAAGCTTGGGGCAATTCAGAAAAATGTTGTTTGAAATATGTGGGGTTGAAGCCACACCCCCTTACACCCCTACCCACCCCCCTTAACAACTCTGCTTTACTATCCCAGGACTAAACATCATCCATATTTTACTAAGTCTAAGAAGGAAGCCAAAGTTGCTGGAATTCTTGCTTATTCATGATTTAAAAATCAATAATATTTTAAGAAATTTCATCATCTGACTTGTCAGTATTTGTAATAGAGTTTTTTCATTTCTTACAGGGTTCATTACCTACACAGAATTCGCCATAGTCCTTGGTGTCAGTCTTGGTTTTGCAGCAGTGGTGATTATTTGTCTGATTGTACGCCTTTGTTCCTTTGGAAATACTCACGGTATGTTTAATCATTAATCCCTTGACCCCTTAGAGTGGCCAGCTCTTAATTTCTCCTTCAAGGATCACCATCATAACAAACATGAAGGTCATGAAAATAAAGGAAATGGTCACCAATTTTAAAAGCTCCTTATTGTCAAGCAAATTCTCCTCATCAGTACCAGAGAAAATGGAAAGAGAATAGTATGGAGAATAATTAATACCAATGTTGGGGGGTACATGGTTAAGGAATGGAGCTGACAGCTCAGATTTTAGCTTGTTCAATTATTACTAAATATCCTCCTTTCTCTACCTAATTACTAATTGTTGTCTCTGTTTTCTTTTGCTTCACTGACATTATTAATCATTATGACCACAATCATGGCTTTTTAGCCTTCTTAGAAAGTCGATTTATTCACTTCTTGATTCCTTTTCCCTTCAGTAACTAGTAATTGATAAGCATTCTTTTTATTTCCTTACAGAAACAGTTGATCAAGGCTATGATAATGATGCTGTTGATCAAGGCCATAATAATGATACTGGTAACTTACAGAAAGTAACAGCAGTCTAACCAACCTCTTGAAGTAAAGCAGTGTGCAATGGCTTTGCTTTTTGTTATCAGTACTTTTCAGAAGTCTGTCCTTTTTAATACATGTCAAGAGATTTAGAGGATTTAGAGGGTCTGAGGTTTCTCTTAAAACAGCCAAAACATCTAAGTTTTAATTCTAATATGTAGTACTGATTGCTGATCCGAGTACTAGGTAGGAGGTTGTAACTGAAACAGATAATCATTCTCATATTTTTGTATTTTGGTTTAGTCCTGAAAATGGCTAGGGGGGGGGACTGACATAGTTTTTCTCAGGGGTGCTCCTATATACCAATTGAGTACAGACTGGATTAATGACTGGGCTTTTGGATCCCTAACCTTCCACTTCCTCAACTTTTGCAATTTCTAAAATTAGGAACATCATTGGAGAGACCACTACAGAAGGTATCCCCTCCACACACACACACTGGATGATTGAAGTGTTCCTAGTACATGTAATTGTATGATTGTCAGTGAGATAAGTAATGGGAGATATTAATTGGGCCATTTTAAGTAATTGATTGGTACACTTAACTACCAGTTCACTCCTTTTCTGTGAAAAGAAATCTGTTGTGTTTTGTAGAGCACTTTAATAAAGTAACCCAACTTTTGGGATTGATCAGGATGATAACAGTAATATTATCCAATTCAATTTTGTTAGGAATAAAACTCAATTCTTCTCAAAAGCCAATTTCCTTGTTATTTAATTAATCCAGCTAGAAGCATTAATTTTGTTTTTAATATGTACTTTTGGGGCTAGTCTGTAGATAAGGGGCCACCTGAACATTGTACCCAGGGAAGAAACCTTTCTTGCTGGCTTAGAGGGCAATTTGCATCACGTAAAATACTATCAGATGAAAAATAAAAGACCAGCTGTCAAACCGGATTTGAAACATAAGGAAAAGCTGGCTCATAAAACAACAAAGGCTGATAGTTTCTTAAGAAACTGTTTGGGGCTGTGTCGGTGGGGGTAACAAAATAATTTGGATATATCAACAAAGTTGAAATGGTAAATTGGCCACCGTAACGATTACAAATTTATTTGTGTTTTTCTCGTTGCCATGTTCCCACCAATAACCTAGCTCCATTTTCTGCCTTTAAAAGCACACACAACTCATAATTCCTCTATTTGCTCCGACGAAGGGCAAACACTTGAAATGTCAGCTTTTGTAATTTTTACAGTGGCCAATCTACCAATTCAACTTTGTTGATATATCCAAATTATTTCATAAAACAATAATCTGTCAGTTCATTACTTCTAGAGATAATTGCAGCTCTCTACCAATTCTAGAAAAAGGTTACAGAAGAGGTTGTTGTTGATGCAAAAGTTCTGTATTAAGCAGGAGATCAGTAAAACTCAGTTATGCTAAGTACACGTGTAGCACACTTTGTGCAATGAGAACCAATGCTTAAAAAAGATAGGTCCACAATGCATACATGAGTGGCTTACAAAATTGAGCTGCTTTTTAGTATCTGTCTTATTGAGTTTCTAGTAGAAGAGTAATATCTGATTATGGTCAGATAGTTTTCAATACTGTTCATGTTCATCGATAAAACAAGATTACCACCATGCAATTGTCCTGAAATGTTCATTTTCAAGATGAGGGTTTATGGCCAAACCTCTTTATGGAGGTCTCATTTTGACAACAAAGGTTACACATGTAACCTGATGATTTTAGGAACTAAAAAAAGCATTAGCATTATCTCCCACAATGGCCAGAAAGATTCAGTCATGATTTTGTTTATGTAATGAAGTGGAATTAAGTTCTGAAGTTTATAGGATGATTGTCTTTCCCAAGGCATCAGTGATGTGAAATTAACTCTAGGGAAGCATTTCATATGAATAGTTTTGGCATTTTGTGTAACAGTACACAAGGGCAAAACTTTCCAGTAGGGCTGGGACATTCAGGAGATGATATAATCTACACTAGAAGCCATTGGGAGCTTGATTTGGTTTGAATGTATAACTTAAATTTTGGACAATACATACATGTAAAGTAACACAATGCTGAGTGTACTGATCGTCCATTAGGGCACAAAGTTCTATTTTCAGTTGGTTGAGGTTATAATTATTGTATTTGGGTTTTGTGGGACTGCAATTTCAATAAATGAGAACACAGAAAAATTTAGTTGAGTTAGTTGGATACGGGGGTTGAAAATGGAAGAATTTAGGGAAAAAAGGTAGGTGCATAACAAGATCAGAACACAAGCAATATTTTTAATGAATCATACGTTGAATAGTACTCTAAAGTATCATTACATTCATATTGCTAATAATTTTTAACCCAATAAGATTTACAATTATTTCACCCAGAGGTTTTACTTAACAGAAAGTTCAATAGAGATAGTGTCACCATGATAGATTTCAGGACAGTAATCAGAGACAACTTAAACACAACAGAGTTCAATGTACAGGCAATTGTATGATGGTATCATATGACTTTAAAGTACCAGAATCTTTCAAGTTTTCTTATTATTGATATTGTTATTTCATGCCAGTGTGTTTCCCAAATTCAAGCCTATGAGGAGACGAGAAATGAATAGGTGAACCTGACATCATCATGTAATTGGTGAACTTGATATATTGTTATCAAAATTTGTCTTTCAGCTGAAATCTTACTCAGGAATGCAAGTTTGTTAGTGTTTATCAATATACATAAAAATATCCAATCTTTTGTTTATTTTGGTCAGCTACTATGTGTATCAATCAGCACAACCTTACTTCATGTAAATCTGACTGGTTTCTACTGTGATCTGTTGTTGCTGAGCCTACCAGCAGTTTACATTTGAACGTGAGTTATTACTTTTGCATTAGGGATACATGAAAAAGGCACCTAGCTGTCTTCGGCCAATCAAGAGTGTAGTTTTCCATGTATATCAGTATTCTGATGAATTAACCAAAACCAAACAAGTAACTGGAAAGGAGTTGTTAGTCTACCAAGCTTAAATATTAATGCTTATCTGAACCATTATGAAAACAATTTGGAAGACAGCCAAGCTTACAGGAAGCCATGAAATGTTAAGGTCTGAATAATTCTGGGCATTACTTGGAAAACATAATACTAATCCCTTTTCAGTTGTAACTTTAAACTACTAGGCTCCTACAAGCAATGGAACCTGGGCATTGTGGTAAACCAAAACATCACATCAGTCCACATTTTGTGTTGTCCAACAACTTGTTTCAATACTGGCAAATACAATACATTTAAATAGTACATCACAAGCATTAAACTCCAAAAATGAACCTTAAAACGTGATAAGATATCCAGTATTGTCAATCCAAATTCCCATACTTATACTTTTGCCGTTTTGAAATATGCCTCCGTGAATTCTCAACAGTGCAAGGAGAGTGCAACTACAACTTATTTCACTTTATGGCACTTTCAAGTGGCTTCAGACACTTTCAGACACTCAGTGGTACAACCCGGCGTCCCGATAGATCAAATGGATAGTTGTTGGCCTGCGAGAGTGCAATGACTCCTTTCAGCCCAGTAAAACCCGTAACGATCGATTCAAGCAGTTAAATTTTGTCTTTTAAGAGCGTTTATAAAAATAAAAGCTCTTGCACAAGCTGCACTAATATAACACAAGCCGGGTCTGGGGCTGCTATATTGAAAGTTAATATATTCTTTATTATTATTGTTTATGTCATACAAGTGAATTCCTAAGATTGGCCGAAGCCAGCGGCTTATTAATGGCTTATGGTCAGAGACCAAGACTAATTTTTCAAAGAACAATAGATTAATCTAAGGTATTCAAATCTAATCTAATCTAATCAAATCTAATCAAATCTAGGTAATAAACAATAATCGGGGTATATCAGAAGTTCAGTATAATGTTCACAAATTTACCAAGAGCAGTAGATTAATCTAAGTAGTAAAAAAGTAAACAAACGCCCCCAATCACCAACGCCTCCTGAAATACAACAACCCCCCTCAAACAGGAACTTCACGTAACCAGGCGTGTTTATTATTTGCTAAGTTTTAGGTTTAAAATAATTCACGAAAAGTGTTTCTAATTATGACAACGATCTGTAAAAACCACTCATGTGGGTGTCAGAATAAACTCAATGAAAGGAATAGAAACTCGCGTTCTCGCGATATTGTCAGGAGAACTTGACGAATTTTGGCTTTGCATTCAATATCGCATGAAAATGCACAATCGTGTTTTTGCGTCAATCTTCTCATCATAGGGTTTTTAATTATGACTCACAACACTTAATGCACTCAGATTTTTAAAACACACCCAAAGCATGGTATAAACACGTAATTCTACAAAATTTTACTCGTTATTGAAAGTGGATACAGCTTGTTTTGCTCCACTGATCAATCATCCTCGGAGACCCAGGGGCTGTGGGTCGATTTCAAGTTAGGGCATGAAGAGGCTCTTCATGCCCTAACTTGAAATCGAATCATCCTCGGAGACCCAGGGGCTGTGGGTCGATTTCAAGTTAGGGCATGAAGAGGCTCTTCATGCCCTAACTTGAAATCGACCCACAGCCCCTGGGTCTCTGAGAATGCTGATCAATGCACCCTTCAATTTTTTCATCGAAAGCCCACTTACAAAAAAAATCTGTCAATCAGTCAACAGCTCAACTAATTTTATCTCACCTTTACTCTCATGACGTCAGAGTGACGCATATTGAAAACGCCTCGCAGAAAAATGGCGGAAGAAGATTAGAGAGCAACAGGAAGGTTTGCCTAAAACATTTTTTAATTAGAAGGGGTAGGTCCATAGAGGATACAATACAAATCATGATTTCAAGCCAAAGCACGATTTTTCTCTTTTTGAGGAAAGACTGAACTCCACATTATATACCAGATTTTTAGATCTGGTATATCATAGATTTAAAAATCTATCATGAAACTCAAAAACTTACTCAATGGCGGATAAATGTCATTGATTTTTATTTGATCCTCGAAGAATAAGAAGCAGCTTATAATTTGCCTTGTTGTAATTGTGTTTTTTTTGTATTTTGTATTTTGTTTTTGTTGTTTTTGGTTTGTTTATCGGAATTAAATTCCTTCCTTTGTTCCCACGATCCAAATTTGGTATGGTTTCGATTGTTGTGCTGAAGGTCAGTTAATAGATTTAGTATTCGCATTATGTTACAAATGAAGCTATCATTTTAAGATCCCGCATGAAAGTTTAGGTCGGACGTTCATCAAGCGTAATTTTTAGCTTTTGATCTGTTTTCATTTAATGCTTTTTATTAAAACCACTCATAGGATGCAATTGTAGCTCTTGCATTTCCTCGCGTTTCAAGAATATCCTTTTCAAGATGAGTCATTCGTAGATGTTACCGCAATGTGTATATTGCGTAGTTCCGTCGAGGAAATTTCTAAAATCGTTCAAGTGGCTAGGAGATGAAAAATTGGCAAAATATGCTGCAAATGAAATTTTCACTTCGTCTCATGAAGAACCAGCACTCTATGAATTTTCCCCCTAAAGTTCTGCTTCGTCGGTTTGTCGTAATACCTACGTCATACCCATAGTTATGGATATTCTAAAGCTCCAATCAGACTAAGTCAGGAAAGTTCGAGAGGTACGTACGTGGAAGTACGCATTAAGTCTGGGAATGCGGCGGCGTTGTCTTTAAATGGATGACACGGGGATATCCTCCTCCCATGACCCAACCCGGTTTCATTTGTTTTCTTCGTTTTAAAAGGCCGCAAACCTATTGCCGGGAAGGTAAACAAGCCAAGCACTCCACACAGAAGAATACTGTCTGGGCAACTCTGTGCTGGCCCATACACCGCAAAAATCTACCTGTGGAATTCGAAATTTACGGTGAGTATTGTCTTGTATTTTAATTAAAGAATAAGTAACGAGTAACCTCCCAAGCACTCTGTTTTTCGTTCGTAAAGATTGTACCAAAACTGACGACATGTGATACACTAACATCATTTTTGACATCTCATTGCAGAGATTTATTAATCAGACGAGGAAAGAACGACAAAAAATGCAAGAATCAATCGCTACAATCCTTCTCCTTCCAATACTGGGACATGCAGGTATTATATGAAAATCTTCTTCTCGATTCTCTATTCCTCTAGATTTACGATGATAAACTCTATCCACACAAGGGTAGCTTACCTATGATATTTCACTCCTTCAAGAAAGTAATCATTTGCTAGACTAAATTTGATACAACTTTACGAAAGCGACTGACCTTTACACCACATTATTCAAATAGACTTCAATAATATCGTATTTTTCCACTCAAGATTAGTAAATTATCGAAGGGTTTTAGAAAAAAACCTAAAGGAGAATGGAGAGATTTGTTATATGGAAGAATGATGCCATTATGGATGATAATCGCATCTAGGGATTGAGGGATGACATGAGGTAGAGAAGGCATCTACAGTATTTGACTGTTTAAAGAAAAGACAATAAAAGAAAGCTACTGTATAAAGCTAAGGCGACAATTAAGCATCAAAGATTGAAATCAGTTTTTTGTTTACTTCCAGTTCGTGTAAGCAACGAATTTTGCAGACCACGTCCTACTTTAGTGCCCATAGACAATCCAGAATTCAAATTCTTCCCATACTTTGTGAAGCTTCAGCAGTGTGGTGGATCATGTGACCATATTCAACCCACGGTAAAATCATGCATTCCACTTGAGGACAACGAAGTGTCTGTCACGGTGCAAATGGTGGGTACAAGTGAAATGCGGGTTATAAAAGTGAAAAATCACACACGATGTGGATGTGAATGCGTCCGTGGCCCGGAAAATTGTGACTTTGAGTTGGAGGAATGGAAACCAGACCTATGTCAGTGCCAGTGTAGAAACAGAGACAGACCACCGGTTCCGTGTGAGGCAGGAAAGACTTGGAGTAAAGCTCAGTGTAGATGTGTGTGCAATAAGCAGCCTCAATCTTGTGGTACGAATAAGGTAATGTCATAAAATTTTGATCCTTATGAAATATCCATTGCTCTAGATAACGAAACAGCAATATCTTGACAAATATTTCCCAGAGACGCAGTCGTAAAATACTACGTAAAAGCATAAGTAAAAGTTGTTTTCTACAGGTCTACAGATTTATAGGGGGTCAAATTAAATGAAATTATTTTCTTTTTCAGGTATGGAGTAAAAAAGCTTGTGGATGTGTTTGCAAAGAGAAAAAGTACATAAAATGTGCAAGGAAACAAAAGCTAGTGGACGAAGAGACTTGTATGTGCACTACAAAAGTGATGCACCCAGAAGCAGAAAAACTGTCATCTCCCAAACCTCACCCAAAAAGTAAGTTAATTTGATAAACTTTTATCTTCTTTAAGAGACAATGTATAAAAATCTGAGAAAAAAAGTTTAAATCCAGCAATTGATTTACTGAGAAACATGAGATGACTCAGAAAACTGACTCGAGAGTTTCTGGCAAAATTCTTCATTCATCATAAACCTCAATCCTTACACCCTCCCCCTTCCCCCTCCCCCTCCTT